GAATTCCCCAGCCAGCACGGCTGGCTGGGGAATTCTGGGAGTTGAAGTCCACACAGCTTAAAGCAGCCAAGGTTGAGGAAAACTAGTCTGGAAAGACACTTTTTTAAAGGCATCAATACTTTTAATAAGATTTTTTAAAATCTGTCTTCACTAGATAAAAAAGGCAGATAGCCATGCCTGGATTGATATTTCCAAGAACAGTGTTTGAAGAACTGAGACAAATATCAATGTTAAGAGATGTTCTAGATCATATTGAAAATCTGAAAACAAATAATTGCATCTAGATAGCTATCCATCTGGGAGTTCAAAAAAATTCCTAGATACGACATTTCTAATCTAAGGAAAATGGATAATTAATTTTTTTCTTTTTCCTTTCCTTTTTTCCTTTTTAGTTGTTGCTTATTTTGCTTTGTCTATTTTTTTTCTCAACATTCATAAAAAATAAGTTACAATACAGTGAAATCTTAGTATTAACTAACATCTTAAGAAAGAAAGCTTTACTATATAACAAATATTTTGATGTAATTTGCTGTTGCTTCTTAATATTATACTCAACTTTGGATGTAAAACCTAAATAATCTCATGCTTATTAGTATCAACATTTTAAAACATAGTTAATATTGATATAATACCTTTTCTTTTTTTAATCTTTAATGATCTAAGTTATCTAAACATTAGAATGTTAATAATCTCTAGTCAACCCTGTATAAATACCACTGTTTCAAAATAATGTAATGTGTTATAACAATAACAATAAAACAATAAAACAAAAATACTTATAAACTTGATTTTTTAAAAAAATATTGCCTATTCTACCAAAATATTGGAAAGTAACAAATATAATGTCAATTTTGGGATCCAGGAATTGTGGTAAGGATGGAGATATAAGATATTAAAAGCAGGTTAGTTCTGGGTAAATTAGCCGAAATTTCTTATTCAGAACAAAATGATCTACCATATAAAAGAACATATCTTCTTCAAAAGGAAGAAACTTGGTTTCTACAAAGATAAATCCTTCTCACCAATCTTAGAGCTCTTTGAGCATTATCAAGTGCCTGCATGGGGTGACCTGCTAAACATTATTTACTTGGATTTGAACTAAGTCCATCATTATAGACTTTAATCCCATACTATAATGTTAAGATCGTTTAGAGATGCTTTTATGTTTGGTAGCTGCTTAAAGAATGGAAAGCTGTTTGAATAAAATGATCAGCTGTTGCTATGGAGGGATATGAGTGATGAGGCCTTTTAGGGTTCTACATGGGGACTGTTGCTTTTTAATTTATAAGCTATCTTGCGATAGAAGTGAGTATCTCCAGGAAGCTATTCAAGTCCACTGACAAAGACCAAATTATTTAGGATGGTTAAAAGTGAGTGTCTAGGTCAAGATAAGTATGTTTCAGTGGTTTGCTTGTATACAGTGGGGCAAAAAAGTATTTAGTCAGCCACCAATTGTGCAAGTTCTCCCACTTAAAAAGATGAGAGAGGCCTGTAATTTTCATCATAGG